GCAAGGAGGCATGAGGACTGCAGATGTGGCCAGGGCACTAAATTGCAATATCCGTACTGTGAGATTTTTACATTTTTAGTCATTTAGCAGACGCTCTTATCCAGAGCGACTTACAGGAGCAATTAGAGTTAAGTGCCTTGCTCAAGGGCACAGCGACAGATTTTTCACCTAATCGGTTGTTTTAGATTCCGTCTCTCACAGTTGAAGTGTACCTATGATAAAAATTACAGACCTCTACATGCTTTGTAAGTAGGAAAACCTGCAAAATCGGCAGTGTATCAAATACTTGTTCTCCCCACTGTACATACATACATACATACATACATACATACATACATACATACATACATACATACATACAGTGGGGGAAAAAAGTATTTAGTCAGCCACCAATTGTGCAAGTTCTCCCACTTAAAAAGATGAGAGAGGCCTGTAATTTTCATCATAGGTACACGTCAACTATGACAGACAAAATGAGGAGAAAAAATCCAGAAAATCACATTGTAGGATTTTTAATGAATTTATTTGCAAATTATGGTGGAAAATAAGTATTTGGTCAATAACAAAAGTTTCTCAATACTTTGTTATATACCCTTTGTTGGCAATGACACAGGTCAAACGTTTTCTGTAAGTCTTCACAAGGTTTTCACACACTGTTGCTGGTATTTTGGCCCATTCCTCCATGCAGATCTCCTCTAGAGCAGTGATGTTTTGGGGCTGTCGCTGGGCAACACGGACTTTCAACTCCCTCCAAAGATTTTCTATGGGGTTGAGATCTGGAGACTGGCTAGGCCACTCCAGAACCTTGAAATGCTTCTTACGAAGCCACTCCTTCGTTGCCCGGGCGGTGTGTTTGAGATCATTGTCATGCTGAAAGACCCAGCCACGTTTCATCTTCAATGCCCTTGCTGATGGAAGGAGGTTTTCACTCAAAATCTCACGATACATGGCCCCATTCATTCTTTCCTTTACACGGATCAGTCGTCCTGGTCCCTTTGCAGAAAAACAGCCCCAAAGCATGATGTTTCCACCCCCATGCTTCACAGTAGGTATGGTGTTCTTTGGATGCAACTCAGCATTCTTTGTCCTCCAAACACGACGAGTTGAGTTTTTACCAAAAAGTTCTATTTTGGTTTCATCTGACCATATGACATTCTCCCAATCCTCTTCTGGATCATCCAAATGCACTCTAGCAAACTTCAGATGGGCCTGGACATGTACTGGCTTAAGCAGGGGGACACGTCTGGCACTGCAGGATTTTAGTCCCTGGCTGCGTAGTGTGTTACTGATGGTAGGCTTTGTTACTTTGGTCCCAGCTCTCTGCAGGTCATTCACTAGGTCCCCCCGTGTGGTTCTGGGATTTTTGCTCACCGTTCTTGTGATCATTTTGACCCCACGGGGTGAGATCTTGCGTGGAGCCCCAGATCGAGGGAGATTATCAGTGGTCTTGTATGTCTTCCATTTCCTAATAATTGCTCCCACAGTTGATTTCTTCAAACCAAGCTGCTTACCTATTGCAGATTCAGTCTTCCCAGCCTGGTGCAGGTCTACAATTTTGTTCCTGGTGTCCTTTGACAGCTCTTTGGTCTTGGCCATAGTGGAGTTTGGAGTGTGACTGTTTGAGGTTGTGGACAGGTGTCTTTTATACTGATAAGTTCAAACAGGTGCCATTAATACAGGTAACGAGTGGAGGACAGAGGAGCCTCTTAAAGAAGAAGTTACAGGTCTGTGAGAGCCAGAAATCTTGCTTGTTTGTAGGTGACCATATACTTATTTTCCACCATAATTTGCAAATAAATTCATTAAAAATCCTACAATGTGATATTCTGGATTTTTTTTTCTCAATTTGTCTGTCATAGTTGACGTGTACCTATGATGAAAATTACAGGCCTCTCTCATCTTTTTAAGTGGGAGAACTTGCACAATTGGTGGCTGACTAAATACTTTTTTTCCCCACTGTACATACAGTTGAAGTCGGAAGTTTACATACACCTTAGCCAAATACATTTAAACTCAGTTTTTCACAATTCCTGACATTTAATCCTAGTAAAAATGCCCTGTCTTAGGTCAGTTAGGATCACCACTTTATTTTAAGAATGTGAAATGTCAGAATAATAGTAGAGAGAATGATTTATTTAAGCTTTTATTTAATCACATTCCCAGTGGGTCAGAATTTACATACACTCAATTAGGATTTGGTAGCATTGCCTTTACATTGTTTTACTTGGGTCGAACGTTTTGGGTAGCCTTCCACAAGCTTCCCACAATAAGTTGGGTGAATTTTGGCCCATTCCTCCTGACAGAGCTGGTGTAACTGAGTCAGGTTTGTAGGCCTCCTTGCTCGCACACGCCTTTTCAGTTCTGCCCACACATTTTCTGTAGGATTGAGTTCAGGGCTTTGTGATGGCCACTCCAATACCTTGACTTTGTTGTCCTTAAGCCATTTTGCCACAACTTTGGAAGTATGCTTGGGGTCATTGCCCATTTGGAAGACCTATTTGCGACCAAGCTTTAACTTCCTGACTGATGTCTTGAGATGTTGCTTCAATATGTCCACATAATCTTCCTTCCTCATGATGCCATCTATTTTGTGAAGTGCACCAGTCCCTCCTGCAGCAAAATACCCCCACAGCATGATGCGGCCACCCCCGTGCTTCACGGTTGGGATGGTGCTCTTCGGCTTGCAAGCGATTCCCTTTTTCCTCCAAACATAACGATGGTCATTATGGCCAAACAGTTATATTTTTGTTTCATCAGACCAGAGGACATTTCTCCAAAAAGTACGATCTTTGTCCCCATGTGCAGTTGCAAACCGTAGTCTGGCTTTTTTATGGCGGTTTTGGAGCAGTGGCTTCTTCCTTGCTGAGCAGCCTTTCAGGTTATGTCGATATAGGACTCGTTTTACTGTGGATATAGATACTTTTGTACCTGTTTCCTCCAGCATCTTCACAAGTTTCTTTGCTGTTGTTCTGGGATTGATTTGCACTTTTCGCACCAAATTACAATCATCCTAGGAGACAGAACGCGTCTCCTTCCTGAGCGGTATGACGGCTGCGTGGTCCCATGGTGTTTATACTTGCATACTATTGTTTGTACAGATGAACTTGGAACCTTCAGGCGTTTGGAAATTGCTCCCAAGGATGAACCAAACTTATGGAGGTCTACCATTATTTTCTGAGGTCTTGACTGATTTATTTTGATTTTCCCATGATGTCAAGCAAAGAGGCACTGAGTTTTTATTTATTTATTTATTTATTATTATTATTTTATTTTTTTAGCAGACGCTCTTATCCAGAGCGACTTACAGTTAGTGAGTGCATACAATTTTTTTTTTTCATACTGGAATCGAACCCACAACCCTGGCGTTGCAATTGCCATCCCTGCCGGTCATTCCCTCCCCTACCCTGGACGACACTGGGCCAATTGTGCGCTGCCCCATGGGTCTCCCGGTCGCGGCCGGCTACGACAGAGCCTGGATTCGAACCAGGATCTCTAGTGGCACAGCTAGCACTGCGATGCAGTGCCTTAGACCACTGCGCCACCCGGGAGGACGGTTTATTTGAACAGTGAGAGATAGAATAACAACAAAAACATCCAGAAAAACGCATGTCAAAAATGTTATAAATTGATTTGCATTTTAATGAGGGAAATAAGTATTTGACCCCTCTGCAAAACATGACTTAGTACTTGGTGGCAAAAGCCTTGTTGGCAATCACAGAGGTCAGACGTTTCTTGTAGTTGGCCACCAGGTTTGCACACATCTCAGGAGGGATTTTGTCCCACTCCTCTTTGCAGATCTTCTCCAAGTCATTAAGGTTTCGAGGCTGACGTTTGGCAACTCAAACCTTCAGCTCCCTCCACAGATTTTCTATGGGCTAGGCCACTCCAGGACCTTAATGTGCTTCTTCTTGAGCCACTCCTTTGTTGCCTTGGCCGTGTGTTTTGGGTCATTGTCATGCTGGAATACCCATCCACGACCCATTTTCAATACCCTGGCTGAGGAAAGGAGGTTCTCACCCAAGATTTGATGGTACATGGCCCCGTCCATCGTCCCTTTGATGCAGTGAAGTTGTCCTGTCCCCTTAGCAGAAAAACACCCCAAAGTATAATGTTTCCACCTCCATGTTTGACGGTGGGGATGGTGTTCTTGGGGTCATAGGCAGCATTCCTCCTCCTCCAAACACGGCAAGTTGAGTTGATGCCAAAGACCTTGATTTTGGTCTCATCTGACCACAACACTTTCACCCAGTTCTCCTCTGAATCATTCAGATGTTCATTGGCAAACTTCAGACGGCCCTGTATATGTGCTTTCTTGAGCAGGGGGACCTTGCGGGCGCTGCAGGATTTCAGTCCTTCACGGCGTAGTGTGTTACCAGTTGTTTTCTTGGTGACTATGGTCCCAGCTGCCTTGAGATCATTGACAAGATCCTCCCATGTAGTTCTGGGCTGATTCCTCACCGTTCTCATGATCATTGCAACTCCACGAGGTGAGATCTTGCATGGAGCCCCAGGCCGAAGGAGATTGACAGTTCTTTTGTGTTTCTTCAATTTGCGAATAATCGCACCAACTGTTGTCACCTTCTCACCAAGCTGCTTGGTGATGGTCTTGTAGCCCATTCCAGCCTTGGAGAGCTCTTTGGTCTTGGCCATGGTGGAGAGTTTGGAATCTGATTGATTGCTTCTGTGGACAGGTGTCTTTTATACAAGTAACAATCTGAGATTAGGAGCACTCCCTTTAAGAGTGTGCTCCTAATCTCAGCTCGTTACCTGTATAAAAGACACCTGGGAGCCAGAAATGTTTCTGAATGAGAGGGGGTCAAATACTTATTTCCCTCATTAAAATGCAAATAAATTATTAACATTTTTTACATGCGTCTTTCTGGATTTTGTTGTTGTTATTATGTCTCTCACTGTTCAAATAAACATACCATTAAAATTATAGACTGATCATTTCTTTGTCAGTGGGCAAACGTACAAAATCAGCAGGGGATCAAATACTTTTTTCCCTCACTGTATGTGCTCTATGCAGGGCGTACGCAGCGAACAAGGAGTCCCACGCCACGCTGGTGTTCCACAACCTGCTGGGGGAGATTGACCAGCAGTACAGCCGCTTCCTGCAGGAGAACAACGTGCTCTACCAGCACAACCTGCGTCGCATTAAGCAGCACCTGCAGTCCAAGTACCTGGAGAAACCCATGGAGATCGCCCGCATTGTAGCCCGCTGCCTCTGGGAAGAGCAGAGGCTGCTGCAGACCGCCACCACTGCCGCACAGGACGGAACGGCATCTCACCCGTCTGGCACTGTGGTGACGGAGAAACAACAGATCCTGGAGCACAACCTGCAGGACATCAGGAAGAGGGTGCAGGTGAGACTGCATGTTTAGTCCAAAGAACAGGATCTTGTTCTTCAATAGGTGTTTTTACACAGACAGATTATTTAATACCTCATTTGATTTATATGCTTTACTTGTTATTTTGATATAGGATATGGAACAAAAGATGAAGATGCTTGAGAATCTCCAGGATGATTTTGACTTCAACTACAAGACCCTTAAAAGTCAGGGTGGTAAGTTTCACATTTTTATATTACATTAAATTCTATAAATGTTTTGCTAGAATTTTATCTGAATTTGTGGATAGGATATCTTTTAGGTCTTTGAGGCTCTACTATTATAATCTACTACTACTATTTATTTGGCTGGTTCTTGCTTTGAAACTCTGACCCACCATCAAATTCTACCAAATATCACTGACTCTTAAATCTACAGATAACCCACCCAACTCCTCTCCTATTTGCTCAGAGTTGTCCCAGGACATGAATGGGAACAGCCAGGCGGCAGCAACCAGGCAGAAGATGTCTCAGCTGGAACAGATGCTGAGTGCTCTGGACCAGCTCAGGAGGGTAGGGCCCTTATACACCCCTCCTTAGTGTCCATTGGACCCTACATCGTACACCCTTCTTTTAGAGGGTCCTTTTTACCCTGAATCAGGATAGTCCTAATTTCTGCAATAAGTAGGCTAGGCTAGTTGACATTCCGCTCGAACTACATACGCGTGTGCAAGAAATTACATAAACCTGCACACTAACATGTTTGTTAAATAATACGATTTTTTGTAAGCAATAGAATTGGGTTATTCATTCTGTAATTATCAGCAGCAAGCTCAAACTGTCTGCCCCAGGCAGCCTGCTTCCCTATCCATTGCAGCCCGACTTAAACATTCGGACTCGGCAGCAGTACCTTTCACTACACATGCAGGGATCTGTATGTGTGTTGATATTAATGTGCGCTCGATGATTCATTTTCAATTGAGTTCAATTAATATTCATGCTGCTGTCAAGCACTAAATATTTATGAGCAAGATAAGAAGGACGGTAATAGCTGTCAACTTCTGGAGAATGTGGGAGTGGAGACTATTTAGTTTTTTAAATGATAATTTCCCTAAGGCCAAAATTGTAAAACAAATTCACTAATCATGTTGTCCAACATGATAATCATCCTAAGAATCATGTGCAAAATATAATCATCCAGCGGTAGCCTCGAGGTTAGAGAACCGGGCCAGCAACCGGAGAGTTGCTGGCATCAATATCTCAGGTGCCACCTACCGTTTATCTTCCCTTGTGCACTGCACTGTGGCAACCCTCTGCTCCAGCCTCTCCAACCTAAAGTGTGTGTATATATCAGGGGGTTGGATAAAAAGCAGAAGACACATTTCCATCTCATGTGGATTAATAAAATATATCTTATCTTAAAAGTATTTACAGAACCCCCTGAATATCACTTTAACACTGGTTGTGGTTGTATCAGTGTCAGAAGGATGTGCTGTTGTCCCTCTCTGTTGTAGCAAATTGTGACAGAGATGGCGGGGCTGCTGTCAGCCATGGACTTTGTCCAGAAGAACCTGACCGATGACGAGCTGGCTGACTGGAAGAGGAGGCAGCAGATTGCCTGCATCGGAGGACCACCCAACATCTGCCTGGACCGCCTGGAGACATGGTCAGTTACCATTAGTAACCTTTACTTTCCACATGTTAAACCCCTTTTTTATGTGCCCTCCCCATGACCGTACACTATCTATCTCCCCAACACTCATGTAGAGTAAACGTCAGAGAGGCGAAGAAGGAGAATTTGTAGTCAATACAAGACACCATAAGATAAATTGTAGTTCCAAATTTAGTTTAACATAAACAAAGTAGCACTGCCATAATGACTGACCTAGACTAACCTTTGGGACCTCTAGGATTACGTCCCTGGCTGAGTCTCAGCTGCAGATCCGCCAGCAGATCAAGAAGCTGGAGGAGCTCCAGCAGAAGGTGTCCTATAAGGGAGACCCAATCATCCAGCACCGGCCCGCTCTGGAGGAGAAGATAGTGGACTTGTTCAGGAACCTCATGAAGAGGTGGGGAGCTTCTCTTTAGCTTTAACACCTATCACATGTCCAGATGGTTTGGATATTTATTATAGGATAGAATTTGTATAATATTCAGATGTTTTGGATACATGGCATAGACTTTGGCATATATGGAGATATTTGGACATCTTTTATTATGATGGGCATTAGATGAGGCTTCGGAGCTTTGTCCATCTCGGACTTCCACCACTGTGCTCTAATGCGCCGCCTCTTGTCTGGTCGTGGTATTGCAGTGCGTTCGTGGTGGAGAGGCAGCCTTGTATGCCCATGCATCCAGACCGACCACTGGTCATCAAGACAGGTGTGCAGTTCACCAACAAAGTCAGGTAAGAGGAGCTGTGGGACAACTCAGTGCCACCAGTTGATGAATATGTTGAATACAAACTGCATTATTTGACGCCTTTGGCGTTTGCATTATGTGCTCTCACCAAATGTTATTTTCCAAATATTTTCTCTCTTTTCAGATTACTGGTGAAGTTTCCAGAATTGAATTACCAGCTGAAGATCAAAGTTATTATTGACAAGTGAGTTTTGCGTGCCCATTGTCCATCACTCCCATGATCATGTCTGATTTGCATAGAACACAACGATCGACTCTGTCCCAGGGAAGTTGTTTTGTGAATTTACCTCTGTTTTTTTCTCAGGGAATCTGGGGACGTGGCTGCTATTCGAGGGTAAGTGACTTATGTAACGTTGAAACCCTTTGATGACTCCAAAGCTTTCAGTCTTAGAATGTCCCTTTTGCCATGGAGCCTGTGAATAACCTACTCTACACTGCTCCTCCTAGGTCCAGAAAGTTCAACATCCTTGGTACCAACACCAAGGTGATGAACATGGAGGAGTCCAACAATGGCAGTCTGTCAGCAGAGTTCAAACACCTGGTGAGTGACTGTCTGCTAGTCAGTATAGTGGTGAGCCTAGTGTGGTACTGTACAGTATGTTGCTTGACTGATAATTGCCCTTCTCTTTCAGACCCTGAGGGAACAGAGGTGTGGCAATGGTGGCAGGACCAACAGTGATGTGAGTCCCACACTCAATCTTGAATGCTCCTTTTCTTATGGTGACTGATGTAGCTATACTGTTAAATTAAACTTAACATTTTGGGGATTTATAGTACAATTGTCATCAGTATTGATAGTAGCATCAATCGACCTATAACCCTGACTGTCCTGTTCCTCCTCAGGCCTCCCTGATCGTCACAGAGGAGCTCCATCTAATCACCTTTGAGACAGAGGTCTACCACCAGGGCCTGAAGATCGACCTGGAGGTGAGACCTAGCTTAGCTCTCTACCTGTGTACACACACAGTCGGCTTGGGGAATTTCTATTGTGCTTCCTAACTCCCAGGTGGTGTTTGTCAAGTCTCATTACGGCCACACCAAACACTCAGCATGTAATCCCCTAACTCCACTTTAATCCTACATCAGCAGGAATTACATGGAGATTAGATATTTAAGGCCAAGAGTTAGCTCTGCCACACACAGTGAGCCAATAGACGAGTCATTATCATTATCATTATCAGGGGCCTGGCTCTGCTCTCCCCATGCACAGAATACCAATGAGCTGATTCAGTAATCACACTTGATCTCCATGCTTCCTGCTGTTGCTTCTCCTCGCGCCCATCATCCCTCCCCTCAACCCCCGGCCGGTGGAGCGTGTCCAGGGGTGATCCGTCTCTGACCCACTCTATACCTCCCTAAACACCACCATTGTTCCTCCCTCTGATAGCACCGTAGCTAGCCCAAGCCCCCTGCTGGGACACAGGAACCATTCATCTAGTGCAGGGGTGTCAAACTCATTTTAGCTCAGGGGCCACATGGAGGAAAATCTATTCTCAAGTGGGCCGGACCGGAAAAATCATGGTATATATAACTTAAAAACAACAACTTCAGATTGTTTTCTTTGTTTTAATACGATCAACATACAACATAAAGCTGAAGCCTGAGGACAGTGTGTCCAAAATAGTACAAGCACAACATCACTATTAATCATAAAACACGTCAAGTTTATTTGAAAATTCTAAAGAAAAAGAACACACAAACACACAATGCCTCAGTGATTAACAGAACTGTTTCACAGATCACAGAACTATATCAGGGTGTCATTTCTCAGGCAGAAATGTAGATAAAAATAATGAAATCCTGTTCCCCAAACAAGTGCAAGAACCACAGAGTCAAGAATAGGTTAAATATACAAATAAAATAAAATCAATTAAAAACAATAGCACATCAACATAAAAACATATAAACATAAATCTGAAAGCGTTGCTCAAACTCCCGTAACAGTCCCGTTATTTTATCTTTGAACCGCTTCATGTCTGCCACATGTTGGGTCGCGCACACATTTTTCAGACAGGGGAAGTGAGCTGCATCACCACCGGCAAGTTGCGTCTCCCACAATGACAGCTTCAACTTGAAAGAACGTATGCTGTCATAATACTGCGTGACAACTTTGTTGCGCCCTTGCAGCTGTTTGTTCAAGTTATTCAGGTGCTCTGTAACATCCACCATAAATGCAAGGTCCTGCATCCATTCTGCGGAATGAAATTCTAACACTGGTTTGCCCTTTTCTTCCATGAACTGTTCAATTTCTTCTCGTAAATCAAAGAAACGCCTCAGCACAGCACCTCGGCTTAACCATCTTACCTCAGTGTGGTATGGCAGGCCATAGATGTGGTCTTTCTCTCTGAGAAGGCTGTCAAACTGACGGTGATTCAGGCTTCTGGATCGGATGAAATTAACAGTTTGGATGACCACCTTCATGACGTTATCCATCTTTAATGACTTGCAACACAAAGCCTCCTGGTGCAAAATACAGTGAAAAGTCAAAAAATCACGTCCTCCATTTGCAGATTGCACTTTCTCTCTGAACTTTGTCACAACGCCTGCTTTTTTCCCGATCATTGAGGGCGCACCATCTGTAGCCAGGCTGACAGCGCGGGACCAGTCCACTCCGACCCTGTCCAGCACGCCGACGAGTGCGGTAAAAATATCAGCTGCTGTCGTTGTATCTGTCATCGGCACCAACTCCACGAACTCCTCGGTGACGGTCAATGTGTCATCAACTCCGCGGATGAAAATGGCCAGTTGTGCAACATCTGTAATGTCCGTGCTTTCATCAATTGCAACCGAAAACGCAATAAATGACTTTACTTTTTGCTTCAACTGGCTGTCCAAATCCACTGAAAGATCGGAAATCCTGTCTGCAACTGTGTTTCTTGTCAGGCTGATATTTGCAAAAGCCTGCCGCTTTTCAGGGCACACAATCTCCGCTGCCTTCATCATGCATGTTTTTACAAATTCACCCTCACTAAATGGTTTTGAAGCCACTGCGATTTCATTAGCAATGAGGTAGCTAGCTTTCACTGCAGCGTCACTGATGTCTCGGCTGTGAGTAAACACAGACTGCTGTTTCTTCAGACCCGCCAACAGTTCATTCACCTTCTCTCATCTCCGCTGTCCTTGAAAGTTGTCATATTTGTCGGCATGAAGACTCATATAGTGGCGACGAAGGTTATATTCTTTCAGCACTGCAACATGCTCTGAACACACCAAACATACAGCTTTCCCATTCAATTCCGTGAATAAATAGGATGACAATTTTTCTTGGAACACTCTGCACTTTTTTTTTTTTTTTTTAAATCATCTCACGGGCCGGATTAAACCCGTTTGCGGGCCTGATCCGGCCCGCGGGCCGGACGTTTGACACCCCTGATCTAGTGGTTATGCCCTGCAGGGCTTTGTGTTGAGCTCAACACTGCGGCGCTGGCCCCCCTGAACACAGCAGTGTGAAAATGCATTAGCTAGGATAATTAAGACATTAGCATTGAGAAATGGAGGGAAATTAGCGTGTGTGTGTTAGAGGGTTTGGCACACCCACGTTATGAAGTAATTTATCACAACACTCCCGTCTTCTATAAACGACACCATTTAGCAAGGCAAGGAGGAGTGCTGCTGTGTGATTAAGACTTAATTCTCAGTGAGGGACTAAACACTCAGTGAGGGACTAAACACAGTGAGGGACTAAACACATGGACAGCTTTTCCTCCCTTATGGACAACTACTTTGTCACAGCCATCAAAAAAATAAAAATGTCCATTCAGCGTAGAATTTAGTTTATTTATTAAATGGCATTTCATGTCAGACTTGAATAGAATGACCAAACAACCTAGATGAGTTTTGAAAGCCTGGCAAAAAGTGTGAATGCTCCATACGTATATCTTCATTGATCCAATGTCCAGGTTACCCATTCTTCATGTGTTTCTCTATGGACCTTTAGACCCATTCTCTACCAGTGGTGGTCATCTCCAACATCTGCCAGATGCCCAACGCCTGGGCCTCCATCCTGTGGTACAACATGCTGACTAACCACCCCAAGGTAAGACGGCTATCGCCACCTCGTGTTAGACCACTGTCCTGTAACTTCTGTCCCCCAAATACAGTCTGTTTTATTGATATCATCTTTACTGTGTCATACATTCTTTGCATTGGCATCTGTCTTGGAGAGGGTTAAAATGTGTGAGAAATGAATCCACTTTGACCACCTCCTCCTGTTGTCATGTCCTATAGAACGTGAACTTCTTCACCAAGCCTCCGGTGGGGACGTGGGATCAGGTAGCGGAGGTGCTGAGCTGGCAGTTCTCCTCCACCACTAAGAGAGGCCTGACCATCGAGCAGCTCACCACCCTGGCTGAGAAACTACTTGGTGAGGAACCTTTCTGTTTGCAACTCTACCTTAATCTGGATTGGATGGGTCCATAGCAATAGAATGATGATGATGATGTCTGTCTGTCACAGAACATTGAATGAGAGTCGAATGAATGTCCACTTTAGTAATTATATTTCTATGGATGGGTCCACCTATACCTGACTGGTACTGTCTGTATGGCATCAATGCCTAATAAATGTGTTTGTGTTGTTTATCCAGGGCCGTGTGTGAACTACTCTGGATGCCAGATCACCTGGGCCAAGTTCTGCAAAGTATGTCCTTGCCCAATCAGTCTCTCTTGTTCTCTATTGATATTGTGGGATGGTTATCTAGCTGTCGTAAACAGCTTCAGTTTGAATTGATTAGTTCCTCCTTTGTCCTCAGGAGAACATGGCGGGTAAAGGCTTCTCTTTCTGGGTTTGGCTGGACAACATCATTGACCTAGTTAAGAAGTACATCCTGGCTTTGTGGAATGAAGGGTGAGAGGTCGCTTCTGTTTGTTTACCGACTTGTTACTGGAACAGCTGGGTAAAAATCCAAGTTGGAGGGAGTTGAGTTCATGACATTGAGTTCATATGAGCAATGCAGAGAACTGTAATACTGAGCCGTTGAACCCTAGATAGTGGGAAACTGGATTGAGGACAAGTACAGGTTTTAGGGTTAATGCACAAGTGTAAAGTGTCAAGTGTAATGGAGTTAAATTGTCTCCCTTTTAGTCTTTCTCTGTGCTATCTGGTGAAAGTGAAAATAAAAACCTCATATTTTTCTCTCTGCTCTCTCTCTGTGCAGGTATATTCTGGGTTTCATCAGTAAGGAGAGAGAGAGGGCCATCCTGAGCCCTAAGCCTCCTGGCACCTTCCTGCTGCGCTTCAGTGAGAGCAGTAAGGAGGGAGGCATCACCTTCACCTGGGTGGAGAAGGACATCAGTGGTAAGAGGACAGTCTGTCTGTCTGTCTGTCTGTCTTTGTCTCTTTCTTTTCTATTGTGCGTGTCATTTGGTCTTTGTCTATGTTGCACATTATTTAGTTTCATCTCATTATTGCTCTTGTGACATGGTTTCATATCTCTCTCATTCTCTCTGTGTGTCTGTAGGGAAGACTCAGATCCAATCGGTGGAGCCTTACACCAAGCAGCAGCTCAACAGCATGTCCTTTGCAGAGATCATTATGGGATACAAGATCATGGACGCCACCAATATCCTGGTGTCTCCGCTGGTCTACCTCTTCCCAGAGATTCCCAAGGAGGACGCCTTTGGGAAGTACTGCCGACCGGAAGCTGCTCCAGAGGCTGAACTCGGAGACCCATGTAGTAGTAAGTCAATCAGGAAGTTGAACATAATGTCATGAAAACTGTGGGATGAGTTTGATAATGAAAGAAGATCTGGAAATACCTCATAATGAATATTTCTTTACTGTTTTGGAGGTTGATGCTTTGTGACATGGGGAATATTTAGATCTGTGTGTAAGTTAAAACGTGTTTTGATTTTCTCCCACAGCCATTCAACCATACTTAAAGACAAAGTTCATCTGTGTAACCCCGTAAGTATCCACTTTCCTTGAGAGCTGTTTTTAGTGTTAAATTCCCTCACAGGGGTTAGTTAATGCTCGTCAGTGACCTCACACTAGGTTGTGTAATGGAAACTGGGACAGTCATGTACCTTCCTAGAAAGTCTTGACACTCTTTTCTGCCTATGTTGCAAAATTGACATTTAAACTTTTTTATTCTATGAAATGTTTGAGTGTCCTCCAGAACATCCCCTTGTTGGGTTCTTGTAAGGGTGGGGCTGGGGTTTTAACCCTGGTAGAAGAGTGGTTCCCAGATCGTTCCTCTAAAGTCATCACCAACAAACTGTGACACACTGATTCACTATCAATCAGGGTCTTTCCCTTATTTGTACAGTCATTGGTCTGCCCTGGGGACAGTAGAACAGGAAGCACAGGACTGTAGGCAGGTGGGAGGAAAGTGTACACATCTCTCTAGACAAAGCAGAGTGGAGAAAGCAAGTAAGGATCCCCAGACAAAAGCATACAGATCACTTTAATACGAATCGCTCAACACAGTAATACCACCAGTAGAACCAAAGAGAAAGCTTACCTTGCACTTATAGGGGAACAGACAGTGTGTCGTGTTCTGTAGGCCATGCAGTGCTCTATTCCGGGACGGAGAGGGTGTGTGTGAGATTAGCAGAGGGATCAGAGGGGTGTGTATACTGGCTAACCAAGGGGTGGAGGTAGTGTTTCGGGGTGGGGGTGGCAGCATTGGAGAGGTTTGCTCAGTGAGAACCTGACCTGTCTCTGTAGGACTAGACGGGTGTGTTCTACATAGGTGGAGGTGTCTGTTGGGGTGGAGGGGGGTGTTGGAGAGGAATGCTCAGTGAGATCCTGACCTGTCTCCGTAGGTGCCCTTCCGTGTTCATGGACTTTCCGGACAGCGAGCTGCTTGGGAACGGGATATTCCCTGGGTAGGCAGTGGGGGGGGGGCATGTAGGGCTGTGTGTGTGTTTCTCTACGTCTGTGTGTGTGAGGGTGGGTGAGACTCAGACAAGGGATGGAGTAATAAGTCCCTCGCCATCCTCATCTAGACCCCCCACCCCTCACCATTTTGTTTCCAACTCACTGCCACTCTCCTTGGTTCTAACACCAGAGCATTTTCCAGTCATATTGTATGCAGCCATTTTGAGTTGGTTTCATCCTACTCAAGATGGCTTCCCTTTCCCAATCACATCCTCCGTAGATCATTCACCTTTCAAACTCCCTGTATGTCTACGTATTGGTGTCATGACCACTCCATTAAAATCAGTCCACACTGGCCATGTTTAGTTTACAGCTTGATAACTGTATCAAAATGGTCCCCATCTCACAGTCATTATTATTATTGGGCTCCCGAGTGGCGCAGTGGCCTAAGGCACTGCATCTCAGTGCTTGAGGCGTCACTACCGACCCCCTGGTTCGATTCCAGGCTGTATCACAACCGGCCGTGATTGGGAGTCCCTTAGGGCGGCGCACAATTGGCCCAGCGTCATCCGGGTTTGGCCGGTGTAGGCCGACATTGTAAATAAGAATTTGTTCTTAACTGACTTGCCTAGTTAAATAAAGGAAAAATAAAATACAAATAAAATAAAAAATGAACTGGCTAGAACAGCAGGAGGGGAGAAGAGGCAGTGGATTGATAGGCTGTAGACTGAATGTCTCATTGGGAGAAGTGCCTTCAGTGGAGATTAACTCCTAACGCCCTAACATTGGTCCTTACTTTAGTTCTCCACCGCAGGAGGTTGGTGACACCTTAACTAGGGAGGACGGGCTCGTGGTAATGGCTGGAGCGGAATCAGTGGAATGGTATCAAATACATCAAACGCATGGTTTGATGCCATTCGCTCCGTTCCAGCCATTATTATGAGCCGTTCTCCCCTCAGTAGCCTACACTGTTCTCCACATATGACTTTATAGTAGTAGGTTGCTGTGAGACATCATGCACTTTTAGAATGAAATGTCTGTCAGGGGTGTAGAGGGTTTTGGTGTGTTTCTGCCCACTGGCCTGCTCTAACCAACTAGATTGTGTAGAATACTTGTCATTAACATTCCCACTAACCATCCCAGCCTCCTTATGTGACAATGTGCTCAGTGCTGCCCCCAAGAGGAGAAGCCATTTCTCTCTCTCTCTCATTCACACATCCACTGCACTCCTATCCCCCTTTCTTTCTGCTACTGTAGTCTAACTTCAATCATTCGTTGGCCACTGGGAAGCACATTAACACATAGTGGCTGAACTGACCTAACCTTGGAGTCATTGGCTCACCTTTCACTAATCCGACCCAGTCAACACTGAACCACTTTAGTCATGTATTTAAACCTGTAATACTGTGTGTACATGTAATAATGTGGAGTATTGTCCCAATCTATGGTGACATAACAGCAGTGATGATGATGACAATGACTTACGCACTGGCAGTAGACTGACAGTTAGTTTATCGCTTGTGGTAAAATGGACATAGAGATGTAATCGCTATGACGTCTGTGTGTGACTGTATGTGTTTAACATCTAGTCTTGGTGTGTCTCTCCTATCCTGTATTGTCTTGTTGCAGCACCAACTCTGGTAACACCAGTGACCTGTTTCCCATGTCCCCTCGCACCCTGGATTCTCTGATGCACAACGAGGCTGAGACCAACCCTGGCCCACTGGGTGAGTCCTAATACACACACTAACGCACACGCAGACAAACACACACATGCACATACTCGTACTGTACTTGCATGTGAGGCAAGGTTTAACTTGTTTTAATGGCAGCCCTCTTGCTTTCTGTCTTCCCAGATTCCCTCACTCTGGACATGGAGTTGAGTACTGATGCGGCGTCACCCATGTGAAGAGATGAATGAACCAGACTAATTTTAAATCTTTTAACTCCCCGTTTTCTTAAAAATAAATATCATCCACAGGTACTTCTGTCCCATATTGTGAAAGGGAACAAGACGCATTACATTTAGCCACATGTTTTGTTCTTTACCTTTCACCTAACACACCAACAGCGTCATTGCGCAAAATGGTACGCAGCATCATCTGGATATGTGTGCAACAAAAGTTCAACGTTAACCTTCTGCTACCATTTCTGTCAAGCCATCTACGCATACAGTTTGATGCATACGTTAGAAAAAGGCAAATGCAGCGTTCCATTGGAAAAGAATGTACTTCTGGTGTACCAAAATGCAATGACGCTATCGGTGTGATCGAGGCGTTAGTATCAATGTTTTGAAAAGCCACGTCTCCCTCCCTGTGGGTGTTTCACAAAGTACCTTATATTTAAATTGTGTATTTTAATACAAAATTATATTTTTGTTTCCTTGAATTTCTTAAAATGGTTTTGATCTCAACCTTCATTTTTGAACCAGCGCTTTTGTTTTTATAAGAATGTCTGAAGAGGAAGATTGCTATCTAGCTTTTCAAAGATAAGAAGTTATTCTTTGTTAGCTTGAAAGTTCTAGCTTTTCAAAGATAATAAGTTATTCTTTGTTAGCTTCATAGTTCTCAATTACCTATTCTATGATAACCTTTTTGGTAGTCCGTCCGTCTGTCTCCCATGAAATTCTCTATTGAAAGGGACACCTGTATCTTTATGTTCCTTTGTATTTGATTGAGAAATATCCTGGTCCATTCTTTCCGGTTGTATCTTATTCCTTTTTTATTTTTTATTTAAAAAATATCTATAATCTCACTGTAACACAATGAGTCAGTAATATGATGTGTTTCTAAAAACCAAGGAGATAAGAACCAAGGTGACTGGAGTGAATTTGTTAATTGAACATTCATTTATAAAGGTCATTTATGTGAATGGCGCTGGTTTTCGTTTTTTTTGGTGTCTGAAATGGCGTTGATAATGACAGGATATTTCCCTGACCTTCTCTGCTGTCTCCTGTCTCAGCCTCGGATCAGCCCCGCTCTCAGCAGGCAGCAGCATGTCTCAGTTGAAGGGAAAATACTGATTCTTCCCTGGATTGTAGAGCACGTTGACGTTTGTCATGAATCTTGCCCTGAGCAATTTCCGCTAGCTGGGCCAGCTGCAATGTCAAAATTGGCGATATCGTAAAAAAATAGTTTTCCTTAATTTAGGGTTAGGCATTGGGTTAGAAATGTGGATTAGGGTTAGGTTTAAAATCAGATTTTATGACTTTGTGGCTGTGCCAGCTAGTGACCACTCTGCAGAGCTGTCTATAGGACAACATTCATGACATATGCCAACCTGCGACTGTAGATAGAAATGTACATTATTCTCTGGGGTTTTTAATTCATACACACCCCCTTCGTCCTTTATAGTTTGTCATAATGTGAATAGCAGTTGTTGTTTTCATTGATCCATAAAAATAGAATTATCATTGCCACAGTACTGCACTAGTCTGTGCCGTAATGGTTTATGTAGTGCCTATCTCATATCGTATTAATGATTTATTTTAAGCGAACACTTCTTGAATGTGTTGACCTTGACCTTGTTTTTTTTGTTATTTACATAATGTTAGTATCAGTTTCTAATGATATTTCACTTTTCTGTTTGATTGTATATGGGTATGATATGATACACTTGTCCATCGCTTCATGACTTAAGTGCTCAGTTGAATCTGTAGTTGAGTTCACTCTGTAGATGTTATTTGAAAAAAGCTATCTGTAAATTATGCTGTAACTAATCTTATATTTGTTTAAAAATCATAAAAACAAAAAAAATATTATCCCTCATATGGACTCGTTTGTCTATCTTATTTGATTTTCCCTATTTAATTGTGTTATTTTAAGCAGATGTGTGTGTTTTTTAATTTTTACCTGTGATCCAGTTGCATAGCTTAAAGTCTTTACATATTTGTGTTTGCAAACAAGCTAGTCATAGGTTTCGCCTCAATCACTCAGTCGAGTCATGCCATTGTTATGAACATTCTCCACCCGCCCTCCATCAGTGGTGCCCTAAAGTGGTGATGAGGCCATTCATTTTGGACGGAGGCTAACTACCGTTTAGTCTAAATTACACTATAGTGCCTGGAAATAAGATGACATTGCTAAAGTAGTCAAATATTTAGTAGGAAACAACTTTGCCAGCATGTCGGTCCTGTATAGCTTAGTTGGTAGAGCAGGGGTGTCAAACTCATTCCATGGAGGGCCTAGTGTCTGCAGGTTTTGGGTTTTTCCTTTCAATTAAGACCTAGACAATCAGGTGAGGGGAGTTCTTTACTAATTACTGACCTTAATTAATCAATCAAATACTAGGGAGGAGTGAAAACCCGCAGACACTCGGCCCTCTGTGGAATGAGTTTGACACGTGTGTGGTAGAGCATGGCGCTTGCAACGCCAGGGTTGTGGGTTCGATTCCCACGGGGGGCCAGTATGAAAACAATGTATGCACTCACTAACTGTAAATCGCTCTGGATAAGAGCGTCTTCTAAATGACTAAAATGTAAATGTCAAATTTACTTTAGGCAGTGTTGTCATTAACTAACAAAATGTTTGTCAAAAATAGCTAGCAATGCTAACGTTAGCTAGCTAAAATCCGGTGTCCTCCCCTCAACCTTAGCTAGCTAACACTGCATCTAAAGTCAATTTGGTGACATCAAAGTGATGACAAAAGGTTTTGCTACTAATTATTTGCCTCCTTTTGAATGTCATTGTATTTCCAAGCCACTGTAATGCACTTGACAGAATCTTCATCAGCGCTCATTGACGATGGATTGAGTAGAATGCTCAGTCGGGCATCAAAGTCCAAAACGAACATTCAAAACAATATTGTGACGAAACATGCAAACCATGAATATGCAGAAGAAAAATTATTTATCTACACGTCATTCGTCTCCTGTCTGCATATCCTCTGAGTATTACCTAATTGCTCCAACACATCTTGCCTGATTCTTAAAGCGTCCGCATGCTACCCAGCCGAAACAGTTCGGTAGAGTTCGTTCATATTATTATGACGACATTCTGTGACGTTTTGGACTTCGGTGAGGGGTTTTTTGGATGTTCGGGCACACAACATTTTTTTCTGGAGGCAAACCGAAGTTCGGAGCCGGAATCTACGCCCCTTCGTCGGTGATTGGTTAACAGTAGGGATTCTTCAATAAAGTCTCTGTTGTCATTCAACAAGAGCCGACTCGTTTTCATGCACATTTTTTAATTGAAGAATACTGCACAAAACATCTTAGTTAGATGTAAAATTGCGCGACTAAGATCTCGACAGCAAAAACGTCAAAAATTAATGACAGATTTCTTAAATTACTTCTGACTATTTTGAGGAAGTGGCTACGGCGTCTCAAAATGGACAAACAGTACTATTGCCGCTTTCCCTCGTAGGTATTTTAAGGGAGTACGCTAATGCACTCGTTCGGGTTATGCTTTGAACATTACATTTTTGTCATTTAGCAGATGCTCTTATCCAGAGCGACTTACAGTTAGTGAGTGCATACATTTTCATACCGGCCCCCCGTGGGAAACGAACCCACAACCCTGGCGTTGCAAGCGCAATACTCTATCAACTAAGCTACAGGGGACACACCGACTGTGTTATTGCGCGAAATAGCATGCAGCATCGTCTAGATATGTGTGCAGCAAAAGTTCAACATTCACCTTCTGCTACCATTTCTGCAACCTGTTTACGCATATGTTGGATAAATCCAATGTATGCACCACACAGAACGCACTGCAACTGCCTCTGCAACGCAATGCTGCAAGGCAAACAAAGCGTTCCATTGGAAATGAATGTACTTCTGGTGTACCAAAACGCAAGCTCAGTTGGTGTGTTCGAAGCGTTAGGCATCAGCCGAACTGAAGCATGCCAACGCCTGAGTTGATCCGAAAACACTTGAATGAGTTATACCTGCTGGAACGCATACTACGGGTGGGTGTTGTCTATGGGATAGAAATTCTGCATAAAATGTAAATGCTTTGGAATGTTATTTGTCAATTCCTGTGAGTTTTGACTAAATCTTTCGAAACGACACTGAGTGGTCTCCCCTGACCTTCTTTCTGTACGTGGTGAAACTGGAAATCCCATAAAATGAAAGCACGTTGAACATGTGCGTGCTGCTTCACTGCCATCAGGAAACCCATCTCACATTCACTGCATAGCAGCACACAGGTCTGGCCTGGGGCTTCCGCCGTGGTTTCACTTATTTACATTGGCTATAGTTGTCCCGTTGAGTCACTCCTTGGTGTAAACTGGTCTGAAATGGCAGGTGTGAAATATAGTATTTTTCGTATCATTCTTGTCTCCTCACATACTTTATTTATGTCTCTCTCTTCCTCCCTCTCTCTATTTCTTCGCTATTTTATCTCTCTCTGAGAGGAACTAGCCCTGTCCTGCTAGGCGTGAGGAGCTGAGCTAAGGTGAGTGGTGAAATGAAGGGGCGTGGAGAGGCAGAGGGAGACAGAGAGCGTTTTTTCTTTTAACATCAGCAGCTGCTGACTCAGCAGTTTCTGAACGCAAAATGTCAACCCTCCAGCCTGCCTGGCCAGCAGCCAATCCGTTTGGAGAATCGATTCCATTTTAACGGTGTGCTGTGAAGTGGCCTGATGTATGGCTGGGGTTGTTTGTGTGCACAGAGGGGGTTTGCAGGCCTTGTGGAGTGTGTGTTTATGTGGGTTTTCTGTTGTTGCCATAACAATTTTATATGTTTTTTTGTGTGAAACTGAAGTTAGAAATAATAAAAATGTGTTCATACTTTTGCCATGCCTTATTTGTCTTGAGAAATGTTGGCTTTTTGCATAAGACTTCCAGCTGCTGCGTTTGGCCAAGTGACAGTCGTTAAGTCTGAAACCTCTCATATTTCAAATGCCTAGTGGCGTACCGAATGACACTTACTTACAGAGGAGGAAAAATGGACTGTGGACCAAATTCTGG